GAAGGGGCAGTTCCAGCAGCCAGTGGAGATTTCTCCTGAGCTGGAGAAGAGACTCAGTGATTTCTCTCCGAAAATCTTTGTTCTAAAGGAGACTCTGAAGAAATTGAAAGGTACGACCAGGAAGGGATCTAGGAAGGGAAATAAAAAGTTGTCTCTAGAATTGTGGGATTTGCTGAGCGGTGACCAATCTACTGCTATTTAAAAAGAACAGAAAAGAGATAGATCAAAATTCTTGAATGAGGGGACTGGGCTGGAGGATTTTCTAGGGCAAATGAAATTCTGATTGAGAAACAACCATAATATGAATGTGAATCGTTGTCACCTTACCTCGTTTGCCTGGATTATAGAGGAATGCAGTCTCTTTGGATGAAGGAAGACCTTACGGCCATACAGAGTGCTCTGATCATATTCCTGCCTGGGTTCAGTGTCAGTCTGGCCTCAGTAGAAATTCTCTGCGGATAAATAAAGTTCATGACTGATCAGAGAGGACAAGTCTGATGCATGAAGTCCTTCTTACACCATATTAAGTGGACTTAAGTCATGCATAGGTTGGTCATTCTACATGGGAGAGGGAGACATTTCACATTCACTCTTAGGCCTTGTCTACACTGCCACTTTACAGCACTGCAACTTTCTTGCTCAGGGGTGTGAAAAAAGACACCCCCCCCCGAGTGCTGCACGTTTCAGCGCTGTAAAGTGGCAGTGTAGACAGTGCTCCAGCGCTGGGAGTTACTCCCCTCGTGGAGGTGGTTTTTCTACTGCGCTTTAATTTTATACCTTTAATTACATACCTTTAATTTCTCTTTCTGTCTGGGTATCTCTGTCCCTTTCCTTCTGTGTTTGGCCCAGCCCTCAAGCACATGTATCCTGATTATTTGTAAAACCGTGCCTTCAGTATTAAAGCTGGTCAAAACATTGCATTCAAAAAAAGTTTGGTGGAAAATCCGCCCCTGCTTAAAAAACCCTTCCAAATCCACAAAGAAAACAAACAAAAGAAATAAACAAAACCCCTTGATTTTGTTTGTTTTTATTTTTTCCCCCAAAAAATTCTTTAATATTTGATTTTGCAGGTCCCCCTCACCCTTTCTTTTTTGTGACCTAATACAAGGCGGGTATTTTTGTTTTGTTTTGTTTTTTGACTTTTACATTTTTCTTTCTCTTTTGCCACCATGTAATATTTCAACAATTCTTCTCACTATGCCCCCAAATTCATTCCAGCTCTGGTTATGGATGGCAGAAATCACACCATAACGTGACAGCATGACATCTCATCTTTCTCCTCTCTCTCTAGATACCCTGCCCTCCGAACTGGAGAGAGAATGGGGTGAGTCTCTGGGAAAGGTGGGGCCGGGAAAGAAGGGTGCAAATGGGAAGAGATCATGACAGTTTGTGTTGGTGACCCTGGATTCACTTGCAGAAGAAGATTCTGAGATCAGAGAAAACAGAAGCTGTTATGACTAGAGAATGGGCATTCCAGAGAGGGGGATGGCTTTAAACACTCCAGCATATTAACCCCTTCACTGGTCGGACCGAGCCCCTTCGTGTCTCCAGTCATCCTCTTCAATCTCTCTCCCTCTTGCTGGGTTGTGGGGTCTCCCTTCACCCTATCCTTGGGTCTGGGCATGCGTCTGACGAAGTGGGTATTCACCCACGAAAGCTTATGCTCCAACACATCTGTTAGTCTTAAAGGTGCCACAGGACTTTCTGTTGCTTTTTACAGATCCAGACTAACACGGCTACCCCTCTGATACCTGTCCTTGGGGATTCTCTCCTGGGTGCTGCCCCATCTCGTCCACCCAGGTGGGGAGGAGACCCTCTCTGGCTGGTGTCTCCTTCTCTCCCTCCCCTTGGGGCTGGGGGCCCTTTCTTGTTTTTGCCATCATCCCTCCTCCGCCTTCCACGTGCTGCTGACCCCTCCCTCTGCCCCTCACCCAGTATCAATCCCCAGCCCCTTCCTTCTGGAGTGGGGTTTGCACACTGTCCCTCCCGTGTAGGGTCCTACCAAATTCACGGCCTTGAAAAACGCATCACAGACTGAAATCTGATCTCACCCGTGAAATCTGGCTATGACAGGGGAGGAGCAGAGCTGGGGGTGCCCCAGGCTTGGGCTCCCACTGTGGGCCAGGCTCCAGCTGCTAGTCCCAGTCCAGGCTGGGGAGGGACAGGACTTCCTCTTCTCCTGCAGGGGCTGCCCCCAGAGGTGGGTCAGACCCATCTCTGGGAACCTCCCCCAGCTGCAGGAAGCTCTGCAGATGCTGGCTGGGACAGCTCCTGACCCAATTGGGAGGCTGCGGCTCCAGCTGTCAGCCTCCGACCCAGGTAGGGAGGCTTCTGGGAAAACCCAGATGGATGATAACTCACCCCCCTCCCCCATACCCTG